ATCTTGTTGTGACTACTATATGACCTTTTCATTTACCTGACTTCATTTTGACATGAGTATGGTCAACCACGTATTTACGGTTAAGCAGAAATAAGCGTGAGGATATTTGACCTTGAGAATTTTAAAGACCCGTATTTGGCAAACTATTGGTCCGATCTTGTTGTGACTACTATATGACCTTTTCATTTACCTGACTTCATTTTGACATGAGTATGGTCAACCACGTATTTACGGTTAAGCAGAAATAAGCGTGAGGATATTTGACCTTGAGAATTTTAAAGACCCGTATTTGGCAAACTATTGGTCCGATCTTGTTGTGACTACTATATGACCTTTTCATTTACCTGACTTCATTTTGACATGAGTATGGTCAACCACGTATTTACGGTTAAGCAGAAATAAGCGTGAGGATATTTGACCTTGAGAATTTTAAAGACCCGTATTTGGCAAACTATTGGTCCGATCTTGTTGTGACTACTATATGACCTTTTCATTTACCTGACTTCATTTTGACATGAGTATGGTCAACCACGTATTTACGGTTAAGCAGAAATAAGCGTGAGGATATTTGACCTTGAGAATTTTAAAGACCCGTATTTGGCAAACTATTGGTCCGATCTTGTTGTGACTACTATATGACCTTTTCATTTACCTGACTTCATTTTGACATGAGTATGGTCAACCACGTATTTACGGTTAAGCAGAAATAAGCGTGAGGATATTTGACCTTGAGAATTTTAAAGACCCGTATTTGGCAAACTATTGGTCCGATCTTGTTGTGACTACTATATGACCTTTTCATTTACCTGACTTCATTTTGACATGAGTATGGTCAACCACGTATTTACGGTTAAGCAGAAATAAGCGTGAGGATATTTGACCTTGAGAATTTTAAAGACCCGTATTTGGCAAACTATTGGTCCGATCTTGTTGTGACTACTATATGACCTTTTCATTTACCTGACTTCATTTTGACATGAGTATGGTCAACCACGTATTTACGGTTAAGCAGAAATAAGCGTGAGGATATTTGACCTTGAGAATTTTAAAGACCCGTATTTGGCAAACTATTGGTCCGATCTTGTTGTGACTACTATATGACCTTTTCATTTACCTGGGACATGAGTAATCAAAGTGTGTCCTTGATGTTTTAAATTTTTGCCTAAAGTTTACATTGCACCGTAATGAAATGGAGAACACGTCTCTCACACCGAAAAGATACGAGGCTTATCCTAATTTTAATGCCACTTCCATCACCACAAACAAGATTCTTCTTGCCGAAATGTAAATCCAATAAAATGGCGCTCGTCTCAAATGTGAGAGGTTTTCTCTTTAGCTTTCTCCTCATTGATTTCTTGCAGGCACAGAATCTTGAAGGCATTATATACCAGAGGCGTCTTCTTTACCACGGCAACCCTCTTCAATAAAAATAACCATTATTATTTATTCTTTCACACTTGTATTTTATTTTCAACATGTATTAGTGATTTAAATGGAATGAAGGAAAGGTTAAAAGGCGGTATGAAGTACTAGTGAGCAAATTAGCACTTTTAGATTGTGGTCTTCCAGGTTGTGACACCATGTGATCTCGGCGGAACCTGATGTATTTTTCTTCGGAGTGGAAATCTTATTCTCTATACAACTGAAAACTAAGTTATTAAACCTATTAGACCTATATATCAATTTACAAGTCCTCTTTCTGAGAAGCTGACGGTTGCTTAGTTAGAAAAGAAATTCTCCATCTTTTATTTAACCCGAAGTTCATAATAGTGTTCACAAGAGTGCTCCATTAGTATCTGTCCTGAAGCAGTTGAATTGAAATCACATCCTTGTTTCCTGTTTCTTTAAAATCCGTTTAAATCAATCGCTTATCTATTCCTAGGTATTCCAAGTGGTCTCTTTTCTTCAAGTTTTATTGCTAAAATTCTGTGTGCATTTCTCATATTTCACATTCATGCTACATGCCCTGTCAATGTTTTTAGTTGAAATTAAATATCAGTATTAATGCAGAGAAAGAAATATTATGATAATGAATATTCATGTGACTTGTATGTGTACGAGATGTTTGAAGGCGCACGATAAACCATGTTTGATCCCAAACGGATATTCCGACTGTTTTTATACTTTCCTCAGTCACTCCTGGATAAAACCTTAAGACACTTCACTATCACTTCGGCCCACATTCCAACTGATTCTCCAGTTAGGTTAGTGCACTGCAACGACGTGGTAGAAAACCATAATCTGGTATATGCAAGAATGGAAACCATTTTGAAAGTTATGCAGCTAATATAAGATCACATTTTCCAACTATCAAATTACAATTTTTACTGATAGTATGTCTATAATGTTTTCATTTGTACATGTAATTTTTAACCAGAAATTTTATGTACTGGATTATGGCTCTCCACAATATATTTGTAATTCAGGAACCACCTAGTTAGAACCTAAGCCACATTTGCTAATGTTCTGAGGTTCGTAATACGTGTCTTTAATCCCTGAAAGCGAATGCAAATAGCCCACGACCGCTTCCGCCATTAGTGTTTATCTCCCCGTCTCTTTCTGCCTTTGAAGTTGAAGGTGTTTAAGCCCAGAGTACCAAAGAGAACATATGGGCATAGGAAAGTGGATGTCGCACGAAGGCGAAGGAAATGCTTGACAAGGAACTTCGTAATTTGCATTCCACTAGACGTTACTAGTTAACAGATCAAGGACTGCGAGATTGACGAGACATGCAGCACATATTGAAGAGATGTGAAATGCATATAACATTTTAGCCACAAGGCTTGAAATAAAAACATTTGGGAGAATAATATTAAAGTGTATCTTATGATAAAGAGTTAAGGCGTAGCTGCACTCCCTTATCGATTGTCTCACGTTCCTTTAGATGGAGAATCTACTTTTTGTATGAAATCGATACTTTGACGAACCGTCACGTACTCACTAAAATAATAAACTCCACGAAGCGGGGTACTAAACCGAAAGTTCATTACCGTGTTCGCAAGATTCCGACAGTGGATCCAATTCTGAGTCACATAAATTAATTCTACACTCACTCACCCTACATCTTTAAGATACATTTTAATATCATGTTTCTATCAACGCGTAGTTTTCCCAAATGGTCATCTTTATTAAAAAATTTCGACTAAAATGTTGTATACATTTCTCATCTCTCCCATTATAGGCCTTTCGAGGGTTGACACAACGTTCATGGATTCCTGCCTTATATCTAAAATGGTATCATTTGTTGGTGGTAGTGGCAGTACAAATTATAAAGCTCCTCATTATGCGAGTTTCTCCCGTCTTATTACAGCCTCCAATTATCAACATTTTCCATTTCTAAAGCGCACTCAATCTGTGTAGATCGTCGAAGTCCACAATCGACATTTTCTTCACCGCCAGAATCTCAATTCTCAGCTCTTAATCCATTTTTACTAAAATATATTTTTTATTATTATTAACTTGCGTTACCTCGATGTGATGCTTTTATGGCATCTGAATGTAGCAATAACCATCTTCCTGACTGTACATTACCATTCTCTCTTGTTTTATAGTTTTCTGTATCCCTATTAAGAAAATAGTTAGGACTCCTTGGACTGGTAATCAGCTGATCAGACTTGTATCACCACTGCACGAGACAAGAGAAGGTTTACATGCAAACATGACCAGAGCGGGATTCGAGCCGGCGATCCCAGTACTTAGGCGGCGGCGTCGTATTCAACCTGAAACTCTGTGAGCAGTTGCTGCAGATTTTGCTTGCTGTGGGCGTGTTCTGCGAAATGATAGCGTGGTCCCGTGGGGACTGTTGATGTGAGGGATGCTTGGTGCTGGCAGTTTGTGACTCAGGACATTGGAGGAGGAAAAGGACCGAGTAGAAAAAGGAGCAGAAAAGGAAGAAAAGGGGAATGCGGGAAACCTGAGAAAAAATATATTTTGGAGACTCAAAACCTAGATGGGAAGATAATATTAAAACGAGTCTTATAAATTTGGGCTTCCGGGTAATGGACTGGATTCAGGTGCCTCAGAAGAGTACGGAAATGAAAATTCGGGTTCCACAAAAGAGAATTGTTGATTACCTGTTCGACACATGTCTGTTCCAGTGTCATAGCAAGGAAAATACAATTTTTGTTCACAATGAAACTGAGAAGGGTCGGGGGTAGACTGTCACTCAGCAGTCACGTGTACCGCTACGTAGGGGTACGCGCGCATCTCGTGTGCTGATACGGTGAACGTAGCCGGGGTGGGCGCAGCCTGTCGTGTCTTTCACTCGGTTTGTGTTCGGGTCCCAACGCACTCCTCTTCGTAGGCCGCGCTTCGTGTTCCGTCCACATCGCACCAAAACAGCTGTTAACCCGGAGAGTTCCATTTCATTCTTACTGTCTTTTTTCGGTGCCACCTGAACTTCTACAGGGTAAGTTGACAGTATTATATGAATACGGGCTATTTGTGTCGTAATGTCATATCATGAAACATTAATGTGTGTTGTCTTACTTTGTTTGTATAGTCTTTTCGGATTAGGCAGTTCATTGCCTGTACTGACCTCATTTATTTTTCATGTGTATTCGTATTTCTCGTACTGTTCTCCCTGCATGTTTTGTAAATATTTTCATGCCATCCTGGGTTACCTGTCTTCACCAATTCAATTTTGTCTTCCTACGTGTAACAGTCTCTTCAGCAGTATTATGAAATTTAATTTGTTGACAAACTACAGTAGTTCCTTTTCTTTACCTGTTTAATATTCTCTCTTTTTTCAGTCCTCATCCTCACGCTTTGTTTGTTTGTTTTTTCTAGTTGTTATTCGCTGTTAGGTTGTGAATCTGATCGGTTTCCAACAAGCCCACTCATTCCGTTCCAGATTGTTCTTGTTTTCCTCTCTTCCTATCGAGTTTCGTACGTTCTGTCAATCGACCTAGCCCTAAGCCACGGTGAACACTTTCGTAGCATCGACTCTCCCATAGTTCGTGGAAGTGTGGGCTGATTGTTACCTGGCCCACGACTTTTAACATTTCGTCAGTAACCGTGGGTTTATAGTCGAACCAGCTCCTCTGGTTTTACGCGACCGTCAGACGAACCATCTACAATTTACTTTAGAAAGTACTTTTAAAATGTTACTCGAACTTTGTTGTTTTATCTGATGCAATGGACACTGAACCCACGAGTCTCTTTTGTGAAGGAAGTACAAGGCTATTATGTTAAAATGGTTCAGTGGATACATTACGAAAATATGATTTGCAAACATAATAGTCTGGAAAACAAACATATTTTCTTAAGAGCAGAAATTAGAGATATTATGATAGTATATAAAATGTTGAGATGAGATGTTTGAACCTATTACTAGTGAAGTAAGCACGAAAGGAGAGTTATCACGAAGAACCTGTTTACAGAGTCAGGATTGTGGCATACAGTGGGCGTCAGTGGGCTTTGCCTGTATTTGTAATGGCGGGCAGACAATTTATGATTGCATATTTGAAATCTAGGAATTCAGCAACATCGAAATCCACGAAGATAAGAGCATAAAATTGGGATTGATGTTAACGGAATTACGTTTTCAGCATGTGAGGTTGGGCGGAATTGATTGAATATAGTGTCCATTGAGAGCATTTGATACTAATGTATCAAACCATTGGGTTCTGCAAGAGTTAGTTTCTGTACAAATTTCTTGACGTCGTGAGAAACTCATGCTAAGTTTTTTGTCCGAAAACTGAAGGGAAAATACCACTTGGAAGCCTTGGACGTAAATGGGAGAACAGTGTTAAAACGAATGTTTAAGAATATGACTGAAAGTTGCGGATTGGATTCATCTGACTCGAGAAAAGGAAATAGTGGAGGGTTGTTACGAAAATTGTGATGTATCTACTAGTTCCATGAAAGACCCAACATTTCTTGAGTTACTGTTCCCTTTTCAACAAGGATTCTGCTTCGTAAAAAAACAGTAAACCTCTCCCGCTGTACGCCATATAGCCGCTTGGAGGGAGATAAAGTATACATAGCTTCTGTTTATTCGTAAGCTCGGCACTAGATGGGGGTGAGTGGTCAGTGTCACGACCGGGCCGCGCTTTTCCCCAGGGGAAAGGACTCCGGTGCCCACTGGGCACGAGGCTGGTTGGACGCCGAGGCTAGAGGAATAAAGCTTTGCACCTCTCGGGGATACAACCTCGGCTCCGCTACTATTCCGTAGATGTACGATTGTATCCATGTGGACTTCGAAGAAGTGTGGTGTATGTTTACTGAAGAGTCTGTTGATATTTTTTAAAGTTAATTAGGATTTATGTAGTGGAAGGGGCTGGTCTGTTGAAAGAGCTAATGTGGGAGTTTTGAAGTCTATCAAAGCGACCCAATTGGAAATACGTATTTGATAGGAACTGGTCGGTGTAGGCGGTCGAAGGGCTGGAAGGCATGCAGAGACGAGTAGGGAGCAGCTAGCAGATCCAGTGTCGGACGGCGAGTGCCTGGCTTAATACCCTGCCTCAAAGCATCACTGGCACGGTGGTACATTAGAGACCTGTGAAATGTTACACTTGGTTAAATTCCAGGCCACGGAAAAACAGGGTTTCGAATTTAGACCTCTTACATAAAAGCAAGAGGAGCGTGTCAAATGTCGTCATAATAGACAGCCCGTTTAACTTTCTGACATTTCAGAAGGAAAGTTTTAAAATCGTAGCGGCAATAACAGTAACTAGCGTAGGAACTTCTCGAGGCCACAGTTTAGCCATGAGGGCTTCAGTGCTGCTGTGCGTACCTCATTGACCTTGATGTCATTTTAATGTAAATACAGATCCGTTCGTACAGAGGTAATCATAATCCATATACAGCACTGAAGAGTCAGCGGATGTTTCGTGTGTATTTCGTTAAGTATTTATAATACCGGAGACTGTACAACTGAAAAATGTTTCAAATGTGGAAATCGTATTTTTAAAATATCCTTTACGATTAATTATTCACATCTAGCCTAACATTTGTCTGTGTTCTCTGGTTCTATATTTCTTGTGTTCTTTATATTTATTTGTTGAAATACAAACTTATTTTAATTTAGATTACAAAAACCAAACATGCCCAACTGATTTCAGAAAGCACAATTTCTTCCATACCGACGCAATTTGCTGAAGTAGTTTAATAAAATGGCAGGCTTCGGGCTGAGCGACCTGGGTTCGGTTTCTGACAGGAGCAGAGTTTTTCTCTTCGCTACCCATGTCTTCATACTGGATCTGGGGCCCACACAGTTCCTTATATAGTGAATCGCCCTGATGACGGAGGCAATATGACCTCTGAAACGTTGGTAAACATCGACCAGACTACGCAGCGCAACAACCCAGAAGACAGGAATCTTCATACTCATCGCCTTGATGATGGAGGCAGTATGACCTCTGAAACGTTGGTAAACATCGACCAGACTACGCAGCGCAACAACCCAGAAGACAGGAATCTTCATACTCATCGCCTTGATGATGGAGGCAGTATGACCTCTGAAACGTTGGTAAACATCGACCAGACTACGCAGCGCAACAACCCAGAAGACAGGAATCTTCATACTCATCGCCTTGATGATGGAGGCAGTATGACCTCTGAAACGTTGGTAAACATCGACCAGACTACGCAGCGCAACAACCCAGAAGACAGAAATCTTCAGGTTTTCTATGGTTTTACATTGTCCTCTGGTGAAGTGACAGGACATTAATTTGGTTAGGACCAGTTTCGTACACATCCTTCCAATTTATTATTTATTCATCATTACCAATGGACACTGTGCCTATGTTGGAATTATCTGTGCACAAAAATGAACCTTTAGAATCTTGTTCTTCAGGAATTGTTTCAATGATATCCTACCATATTTTATATTGTCTCCCAAGCGATCTCTACGCTTCAAATATTTAAAATATAATTTTATGTGCTTTTCTTATTTCCCTTGGGTGTAACGTATGTCTCCACATTATCATCCTCCTTGTTTGGTCACCGTAATAATATCTGGTTAAAAGTAGAAATTGTGAAACTTCTCATTATGTAAGTTTCTACAGCCTCCCGTTACTTCCTCTCTGTCTTCTCAGAACTTTGTTCTGAAGCACCTTCAAATTACGTTCTACCTTTAGGAGGAGAGGCTGAATTTCTCATCCATGTTTTTGATCGAGGAAGCAACATTGAATCATGCTAACATTCTGAGATCGTGTTTCAGTAGATAAGTAGTGTGTTTTGACATCCTTCTCGAAGTCTCTTCACAGAAATTATCTAAGTTTCCAGTCACCGTTGAAGCCTTGACAGTTTCGATTTTATTCTGCTTAGACGAAGCTAATGATTCTCTAATACTAACACCAGGGAAAGGGTAAGGTACAGAATGTCAAAGAAAATAGTTCTTCCTCCGGAGATATAGAATAATTTTGAAGCGTTCGGTGTTAACTAAATTTCGTAGATTGCGGATACAAGGTACGAATTTCACATGAAACCCGAGACCAGATACTGAACTTAAACAATGAAAGTTCTTACATATTAAGCTCCCAGTAGTTGAAGCTGTACTCCTCAAACCAGAACTTAAGAAACAATAATTTATAACCCTAAAAGCAAGTAACCGACTTCATTGTGGTCAGTCTGGAGCCAGATTTCATTCGTGCCCTCTGTAGTCTTACGTCTGCTTTGTAAGCTTACCCTCTTGTGACATGATGATGTACATAGTTTAAACCAATTTTTAGTTCCTGGTCGCATTATTCTGTACTCTATTTCCGATCTGAAATTCGAAGAAGGCGGCGGGTGGTCGTTACAAACGTTTATGAAAGTAAATCCTTTGCGATTTCAAGTTCTGACGGCGTTGAAGGTACAGGTCTGCACTGGTCCTCAGGCCTCGGCCGATAACACTCAAACGTTTTTGAACATTTCGGGCGTTTTCGAGCCATTCAAGCGGTTTTTAGTTATGCTCGTCTTGTGTTCGTGACAATGTAGGGCTCCGGAAACAAGTTCCACCGACTTTTTGTAGAATGTTTATTAAACTGGAGAACAAGTCTTACGTTTTATACTGATTACTCTGTATTCACCTTTATATATTGGCCTCATGTAAATCAAAATATTAATTTGAATCATGTCAAAGTTTTACATGTTAAGCCTTTTTACCTGTTTGTATTGAGAATTGCTTCTGAAATTATGAATTTGTGTAGATCGGCCCATCGCAATGTCTCTCTCTGCCTTTCTAAGACTGAACAAAAACACGAACATTAAACCACAAGTTGAATCGTGTGTAATAGAATTCAAAAAATGAACCTGTTTTTATATCTGATGGCAAAATTTGTTTTAAAGGCCATTACTTTTGCTTTAGCTGCTGACTTATTTAAGCATACTTATCTGACTGTCGAAGTAAGGTTTTGCAGGTGAAGACTGATGGGATTCTGTCTTCCGTTAACTCAATGACTGTAGCAAATTTTCCGTCCTATT